TCTTCTTTTCTTTGTTGTGTGTGTGTGAGACGGAGTCTTGTCTGTCGGCCCAGGCTGGAGTGCAGGTGGTGCATCTCCGCTCACTGGCAAGCTCAAATCCCCCTGAGGTTAGCCGGAGAGGGCTGGGCTGTCTTTAGTGACTGTTCGCTCTTGATCTGTGTTATCCATCCTAGGAAATGCATTCTATAGCAATGTCCTATACCGGCCCCGGGGGGCTCCAAAGAAGACTGAGGACTGCTCTGGAGAGGCGAAGGACCAGAGAGGCCAGAGCATTTATTCAACCTCATTCCCGCAGCCGGTCACCTGCCAGCCGCACCTGGCTCCCAGACCCTGCCCCAGCCCCAGGCCCGGCCACCCCATTTCTATGGTCAGGGTCTTTCCTAGCCCAGGCCCCACCCAGCAGCCGAGGCCAAGAGGGTTCCCCAAAGTGGGAGAGGAGTAAGAGATCCCAGGCGACCTCGACGGGACCCCACCCATAGGTACACACAAAAAAGGGGGATCGAGGCCAGGCACGGTGGCTCACGCCTGTAATCCCAGCAGTTTGGGAAGCTGAGGCGGGTGGAACAGTTGAGGTCAGGGGTTTGAGACCAGCCTGGCTTGAACCTGAGAGGCAGAGGTTGCAGTGAGCTGAGATTGCGCTACTGCACTCCAGCTTGGGCCTCAGAGTGAGACTCCATCTCAAAAAATAAAAATAAAAAAAATAAGACGCGGGAGGATTGGGAGCCCGACAGCCCCATCCTGAGACCCCGTCCTCATTTCTATGATGATGGATCTCGCTCCCACTTTTCCCCCCAAGAACGCTTAATAAAAGCTTGTGAAGAAAAAGCAAAGCTGGTGTTTGTGGCGATTTGGGAGTGCTTAAAAGATCTGAAGAAATCAGGTGCGGTGGCTCACGCCTGTAATCCCAACACTTTGGGGGACTGAGGCGGGCGGATCACCTGAGGTCAGGAGTTCGAGACCAGCCTGGCCAACATGGTGAAACCCCGTCTCTACTGAAAAAACAAAATTAGCCAGGCGTGGTGGGTGGCTCACGCCTGTAATCCCAGCACTTTGGGAGGCTGAGGTGGGCAGATCACCTGAGGTCGGGAGTTCGAGACCAGCCAACATGGAGAAACCCCATCTCTACTAAAAATACAAAAGTTAGCCAGGCCTGGTGGTGCAGCTGATGTCTGTGGTCTCAACTATTTGGGAGGCTAAGCGGGGAGGATCACTTGAGCCTCAGAGGTTGAGGTTGCAGTGAGTTATAATTATGTCACTGTCCTCTGGCCTGGGTGGTAGAGTCCCTGTCGCATACATGCACCAAAAAGATTTAAGGGGTCATGTGGGGGTCCCAGAGCTCCCAGGGGTGGCTGAAGAGGCCCACTGTGGCCAAGGGACTTGGTGACAACTCAAAGCCCCCCTCCCACCTTATACTCGTAGAGACAAATCCAAGAAGCAGGAAGTGGTGCTCTGGCTTCCAAACAGTCCCCTGCCCTGGAAGACCCCGTCCGCAGCTGGCATCACCCCCAGGCAGGCCTGGAGGTGGGGGGAGGAGCGGGGAGGGCAGGGGATTCGTGGTGTTTACCAGCCCCCCGGGTCTTCTGCCTGTCACCTTGAAGTGACACCAGCTAGGCCCAGCTCCCCTCCCCTACTTCTGCTGTTTCCATGGGGACAGATGTCCTTTCTGCAGATCAAGCCCCTGGTGCCGGGAGGAGGGAGCGGGGCTGGCCCGAGAGCCTGGCCCCCTCAGTTTCTCCATCTTTGTATGTCGGTTTCTATGGAGTACGGTTTTCATCTGCTCCACACTGCTCTGTCTCTTACTCTCTGAGTTCTGATCCCTCCCTATGGGAGATTCAGGTTCCAATCCCAACTCTGCCCCCAAAACAAAGAGCTGGGGATGTGCTTGGCCCGTGAGGCCTTGAGATTTTTTGTTTGTTTTGTTTTGTTTTTTTTTTTTGAGACAGAGTTTCGCTCTCATTCCCCAGGCCGGAGTGCAATGGTGTGATCTCAGCGCACTGCAATCTGCGCCTCCTGGGTTCAAACGATTCTCCTGCCTCAGCCTCCTGAGTAGCTGGGATTAGAGGCACGCTCCACCACGCCCGGTTAATCTTGTATTTTTAGGAGAGATGGGGTTTCTCCGTGTTGGTCAGGGTGGTCTCGAACTCCCAACCTCAGGTGATCTGCCCGCCTCAACCTCCCACAGTGCTGGGATTACAGGCGTGAGCCACCGCGCCCGGCCTCCTCCAGGGTTTCAGTGACTCCATCATCCCCCTCTCCAGCACTGCCTAGGGCTTTCCCGCTGGGAGTCAGCGATCCCACTTCCCTCTGCAGCCCAGAAAGGAAACTAACACAAACAATAACTTATTTATTTTCTAGGCCATGGGACGGCTTTGGGATACAATTCTGGGCCCGAGGACTCAAAAGGGGGCCGAGGGTCACTGTCAGGGGGTCTGCGTGACCACGGGGTACAGCAGAGCCAGATGCTCAGCGCCCTGCACCGGCAGTGGGCGTGAACTGTAGTGGAGGACGAGCTCGGGCACGCTGGGGAAGGGCCCGCTGTGTTGGCCCAGCACCACCTGGTTCTCTCGGGTCCGCGCGAACTTCAGATGCAGGAAGCCCTGGCTGCTCCTGGGTGATGAGGGAGAAAGGGACTCCTAGCACCCCAGACACACCCAGAAAGCCACCATCCCCAAAGCCACCTCCCACAGTGCCCAGGGCCAGGTGCTCGTGCGTCTCCAGTCTCTGGTAAACAGCAGTGTGCTGGCTGGGATAGCTGTTCACACCTGTAATCCCAGTGATATGGGAGGCTGAGGCTATAGGATTGCTCCAGGCCAGGACTTAGAGACCAGCCTGGGCAACAGAGTGAGACCCCATCTCCACAGAAAAACATTAAAAAATTAGGCGGTTGGCCGGGCGCGGTGGCTCAAGCCTGTAATCCCAGCACTTTGGGAGGCCGAGACGGGTGGATCACGAGGTCAGGAGATCGAGACCATCCTGGCTAACATGGTGAAACCCCGTCTCTACTAAAAAGTGCAAAAAACTAGCCGGGCGAGGTGGCGGGCGCCTGTAGTCCCAGGTACTTGGGAGGCTGAGGCAGGAGAATGGCGTAAACCCGGGAGGCGGAGCTTGCAGTGAGCTGAGATCTGGCCACTGCACCCCAGCCTGGGCGCCAGAGCGAGACTCCGTCTCAAAAAAAAAAAAAAAAAAATTAGGCGGGCACGGTGGCTCACGCCAGTAATCGCAGCACTTTGGGAGGCCAGGTCGGGTGGATCACTTGAGGGCAGGAGTTTAAGACCAGCCTGGCCAACATGGTGAAACCCCATCTCCACTAAAAACACAAAAATTAGCCGGGCATGGTGGCAGGCACCTGAGGTCCCAGCTACTCCGGAGGCTGAGGCAGGAGAATCCCTTGAACCTGGGAGGCAGAGACTGCAATGAGCTGATATTGTGCCACTGCACCCCAGCCTGGGTGACAGAGTGAGACTCCATCTCAAATAATAATAATAAAAATGATAATAGTAAGAGGCCAGGTACAGTGACCCACACCTGTAATCCCAGCACTTTGGGCGGCCGAGTCAGGCGGATTGCTTGAGACCGGGAGTTTGAGACCAGCCTGGCCAACATGGCCAAACCCTGTCTGTACTAAGAATACAAAAATTAGCCGAGCATGGTGGTGTGTGCCTGTAGTCTTCCGTCTCCCGAGTTCAAGCAATTCTCCTGCCTCAGCCTCCGACGTGGCTGGAATTACAGGTATGCACCAGTATGCCCGACTAATTTTCGTATTTTTAGGAGAGAAGGAGTTTCACCACGTTGGCCAGGCTGGTCTCGAACTCCCGACCTCAAGTGATCCGCCCTCCTCGGCCTTCCAAAGTGCTAGGTTTACAGGCATGAACCACCATACCCAGCCCCAATCTTGTGCTTTTAGATCTTACACTCAGACACCTAGCAGAATCTTAGGAGTGGTTTATAATTAGACAGAATCTTAGGGACGGAAGTGCATACAAACAGGGTCTCAACCTAAAACGCTTACAGGCACACCCTGAAATTTTGGCTTCAGACAGACACAAATTGATATACCTCCATTTTTGGACAAGGGGAGTCCAAAGGAATCTTGTGCACCTAGTTCCTCGTCTTACCTGAGGCCTGGACCTCCTCTGGGCCTTCCACTCCATCTTCTTGTATACCTCCAGTGATGGGGAGCTCATCCTCAATTTGCAACCAGCTAATGGCCTCCCCAGAAGTCCCACCCCTTCTCCTAGAAGTCCCACCCACTGGCCTGGAAGCCCTTCCCAATGGCTGCTGGAGCCACACCCTCCCGTTCCCTCTGAATTAACACAAAAGGGTGACTCATACAATCCTGTGACCCCTGTGAGGCTGAGGGCTCACCTGAGAGACAAGGAGCAGTCCTGGGGGCTGGTCTCGCTGAGCCGCACTAGGTAGCTGCCTTCCTTGCAGAGGGACAGGAGGCCCTCTGCATCCGCCCTGTTCAGGGGGCCATGAAACCACCTACGGAGTGCAGACAGATGCCTCATCAAGGACTGTTCCCCTTCAAACACACTCTGGGGCCCTGTAATCTCAGCACTCGGGGAGGCTGAGGCGGGCGGATTGCCTGAGGTCAGGAGTTGGAAACCAGTCTCGCCAACATGGTGAAACCTCATCTCTACTAAAAATACAAAAAAGTTAGCTGGGCGTGGTGGCGGGTGCCTGTAATCCCGGCTACTCTGGAGGTTGAGGTAGGGGAACTGCTTGAACCAGGGAGGTGGAAGTTGCAGTGGGCTGAGATCCAGCCACTGCACTCCAGTCTGGGCAACAGAGTGAGACTCCGTACAAAACAAACAAACAAACAAAACACATTCTGAGATCAGTTGGGTCCATGCACAGCTTGTGCGTGGGCTTGTGGCGTCCGGGCAAATGAAGAAGGAAAATTCCCTTGGATTTTTTTTTTTTTTTTTTTTTGAGACAGAGTCTTGCTCTGTTGCCAGGCTGGAGTGCAGTAGTGCAATTTTGGCTCACCTCAACCTCCACCTCCCAGGTTCAAGCGATTTTCCTGCCTCAGCCTCCCAAGTAGCTGGAACTACAGGTGCGCAGCACCACACCCAGCTAAGTTTTGTATTTTTAGTAGAGATGGGGTTTCACCACGTTAGCCAGGCTGGTTTGGAACTCCTGACCTCAGGCTATCTGCCCTCCTCAGCCTCCCAAAGTACTGGGATTACGGGTTTGAGCCACCGCGCCTGGCCGATCCCCTTGGATTTTTCAAGAAGAGGCCTGGTTATAATATACCTGACATTGATTTTCACAGCCTCCCTCGTGTCCTTGTCAACTTCAATCACTTTCTCAAAAGCGGTGCTTCATCTTGTACCTCACCCACCTGTCCCTTTCTTTTTTCTTTTGAGACGGAGTCTCACTCTGTCTCTCAGGCTAGAGTGCAGTGGCACGATCTTGGTTCACTGTAACCTCTGCCACCCAGACTGAAGTTATTCTCATGGCTTAGCCTCCTGAGTAGCTGGGACTACAGGTGCCAGTCCACAACTGGCTAATTTTTTTCTATTTTTAATAGAGACAGGGTTTCACCATGTTGGCCAGGCTGGTCTCGAACTGTTGACTTCAGGTTATCTGCCTGCTTCGGCCTCCCAAAGTGCTGGGATTACACGCATGAGCCACCGCACCCAGCCCCTTTCTTAATGTTTTTTTGTTTTGTTTTGTTTTGAGATGGAGTCTCTCTCTGTCACCAGGCTGGAGTACAGTGGCGTGATCTCAGCTCACTGCAACGTCCACCTCCTGGATTCAAGAGATTCTCCTGCCTCAGCCTCCTGAGTAGCTGGGATTACAGGTGTGCACCACCATACAGAGCTACTTTTTGTATTTTCAGTAGAGTTGGAGTTTCACCATGTTGGCCAGGATGGTCTCGATCTCTTGACCTCATGATCTGCCCACCTTGGCCTCCCAAAGTGCTGGGACTACAGGCTTGAGCCCCTGCACCCGGCCTAATGTTTTGCTTCAATGTGCTCATAAAGGGGTCTGCAGTTGCAAGCAAGGTATCAAAGACAGAGAAGCACCAGAGCCTTTGCTGTTGTTCATAATGAAAGAAATCTGAAAAGAGAATAAGCACATATGGCGCGCCTGTGGTCCCATGGAGGAGGCGAAGGCAGGAGGATGGCTTGATCCCAGGAGTTCAGGGGTACAGTGAGCTATGATTGTGCCACTACACTTCAGCCTGGGCAACAGAGCGAGACCTTGTCTGAAAGAAAGAGAGAAAGAGAGAAAGAAAGAGAGAAAGAGAAAGGGAAAGGGAAAGGGGAAGGGGAAGGGAAGGAAGAACAGAGGGAGGGAGGGAAGGAAGGAAGGAAGGTAGGAAGAAAGGAAGGAAGGTAGGAAGAAAGGAAGGAAGGTAGGAAGGAAGGAAGGAAGGAAGGAAGGAAGGAGAGGAAAGAAAGGGCAGTGGCTCACGCCTGTCATCCCAACACTTTGGAGGGCCAAGGCAGGCACATCACCTGAGGTCAGGAGTTTGAGACCAGCCTGGCTAACATGGTGAAACTCCATCTCTACTAAAAATACAAAAATTAGCCAAGCGTGGTATCAGGAGCCTGTATTTCCAGCTATTTGGGAGGCTGAGGCAAGATAATTGCTTGAACCGGGGAGGCGGAGATTGCAGTCAGCTGAGATGTACCACTGCACTCCAGCCTGGGCGACAAGAGCAAGACTTTGTCAAAAAAAAAAAAAAAAAGGGAAAAGAGAAGAGAGAAGAGAGGAGAGAAGAGAAAAGAAGAAAGAGGGAAGGGCTGGGCGCAGTAGCTCACACCTGTAATCCCAGCACTTTGGGAGGCTGAGGTGGACAGATCATGAGATCAGGAGTTCTAGACCAGCCTGGCCGACATACTGAAGCCCTGTCTCTACTGAAAACACAAAAATTAGCTGAGCGTGGTGGTGCAGGCCTGTAGTCCCAGCTACTCTGGAGGCTGAAGCAGGAGAATCACTTGAACCTGGGAGACGGAGGTTGCAGTGAGCCGAGATGGCGTCACTGTTCTCCAGCCTGGGCGATGGAGCAAGACTCGGGGAGGGAGGGAGGGAGCAAGCGAGGAAGAGAAAGAGAAAAAGAGAACAATCTTCACTCCCTAGGCCTCAGAGTTAAGTAGCCAGTTCTGTATTGCCCAACGAAGAGATTTCGGGGTGACTGTGATAACATGGCCTGGATTCTGGGGACTCGGGCAGTCCCTCAAGGACCTCCCAGGCTGGAAGGGAACATAGTCAGCGTCTCCCAGCTCATGTGCGACCCCAGCACAGAGTTGCGAGCCCACCAAAATGCTGCGCCTCCTGGCTCCATCCCAGGAACCAAGAACTGGCTGAGAATGATTTCTGTCTCTTGGCTCTGAGGCTGTAAGTCCCACCCAGGTTAAGGAAGGAAATTCCCTTTTCTGTTGGAACCTGAGGCTCAGAGAGGTTAAGTGACTTGCCCCAGGCTACACAGCCAGGAGGGGAGAGCAGGGATTTGAACCCAGAACTTGATACCAGAGGGAAAGGGACCCCATCAGATTCGGTTTTGTGTCTAGCTGGGTGCCTGGCACAGAGCAGGCTCTGGCGCCCAGTAAAGAGTAGCTGAAGAAATGAAATAAGTGGATAAATGAATCGAAGTTCTCCCAGTTCCTCTCATCTGGGAAAACGAAAAAACTTCTGCCTGGTACATTGGAGTCTGCAGATAACGTTCAACGGGGCTCCTCCACCTTCAGCTTCCCCACTCACGGCTGTTTCTCCAGGGGCAGGGCTGGGTCCACACGCTCCGCAGGCTGGGGGCTTCTGGGTGGGGGTCTCCGGAGCTCCTTGGCTGAGCCTGGAGTCCTCTCCCACTCTGGACTGTCAAACTGCACTGGAAGGGAGATTTAGAGAGGAAAGGGTTAAGTCCAGCCTATCTTGGGGGGGCGGGACAGGGGCAAGCCAATGGAATCTCAGTAGCAAGGCAGGGCCAGCTTGGGACAACCTATCAGAGCCCAGGGGCTGGGCTTAAGGCAGGTGCTGGATTGGCCACAGGTGCAACCTATTGGCCTTCAGAAGAAATAGGTGTGGTCATTTATAAATCTGGTGGCAAGGCGCACAAGGGGCGTGGCTAGAGGGGGTGGGTTAGAAGTTTCCAGAGGGGAGCCCTACTTCCTAAATCCCTTCTGGGTTCAGGCTAGACTGGAGCCAAGTCCTAAAACTAGAAAATCACCCCCAATCTACAGACAGGTGGACCAAGGCACTGAGCTCTAAATACCCTCCCAGTAATAAAACTTTGGGGGCAAAGTCGTGTTTGGGGGCAAAGTCGTGTTTGCACAACTAGAATCTGGTCCAAATGCTATGCTATGCTATGCTATGCTATGCTATGCTATGCTATGCTATGGCTATGCTATGCTAGCTAAACGTTTAGCTCTTTGAGTCGCCCACGCTGGAGTGCAGTGGCGCGATCTGACTCACCGCAACCTCCGCCTCCTGGGGTTCAAAGCAATTCTCCTGCCTCAGCCCTCCTGACAGCTGGGATTACAGCACGTGCCACCACGGCCGGGTAATTTTGACTATTTTTAGTAGAGACAGAGTTTCTCCATGTTGGTCAGGCTGGTCTCGAACTCGTGACCTCAATGATCCACCCGCCTCGGCCTCCCAAAGTGCTGGGATTACAGGCGTGAGCCACCATGCCTGGCCAACTATTTTATTTATTATTTATTATTTATTTATTATTATTTATTTAGTATTATTTATTTTTTAGATGGAGTCTCGCTATGTCGCCCAGGCTGGAGTGCAGTGCTGGATCTCAGCTCACTGCAAGTCCGCCTCCGGGTTTACGCCCATTCTCCTTCCTCAGCGTCCCGAGTAGCTGGGACACAGGCGCCCGCCACCTCGCCCGGCTAGTTTTTTTTTTTTTTTTTTTTTTTTGAGACGGAGTCTCGGCTCTGTAGCCCGGGGTGGAGTGCAGTGTGCCGGATCTCAGCTCACTGCAAGCTCGCCTCCGGGTTCACGCCATTCTCCTGCCTCAGCCTCCCAAGTAACTGGGACTACAGGCGCCCGCCATCCGCCCGGCTAGTTTTTTGTTTTTTTAGTAGAGACGGGTTTCACCGTGTTCGCCAGGATGTCTCGATCTTCTGACCTCGTGATCCACCCGTCTCGGCCTCCAAAGTGCTGGGATTACAGGCTTGAGCCACCGCGCCGGCCTTTTTTGTATTTTTTAGTAGAGACGGGGTTTCACCGTGTTAGCCAGGATGGTCTTGATCTCCTGACCTCGTGATCCGCCCGTCTCAGGGGCCTCCCAAAGTGCTGGGATTACAGGCTATTTTATTTTTTAAAGCTGATTTTATCATTATCTCTTTTACAGAAAAGAAAACTAAGGTTCAGAGACTTGTCTAAGCTCATCCAGTTCAGCTGGAAATTAACCTGTAATTTACTAGCAGCTAGTAAGAAACGCTGCCCCTGCCACCCCCACATCCTATTCCAAAAGCAAGCCATATTCCCCGCCCCACACCACACTGAGCAGGATAAGTAGGTTCCATTCCACTCTAAAAAGCGTTTGCGTTTCCAAGGAAGATGTAGGTTGTCTTGGAAGAAAGAATTTAGGACTATCAGTCATTCACACTCTAGTGAGAATTAATAAACTACCAAAGTGGCAAGTGATTGGACTCTACTTTTTTTTTTTTTTTTTTCCTGAGACAGAGTCTTGCCCTGTCACCCGGGCTGGAGTGCAGTGGCGCGATCTCGGCTCACTGCAAGCTCTGCCTCCCGGGTTCACGCCATTCTTGTGTCTCAGCCTCCCGAGTAGCTGGGACTACAAGAGCCCACCACCACACCCGGCTAATTTTTTTTTTTTTTTTTTTTGGTATTTTTTAGTAGAGACGGGGTTTCACCGTGTTAGCCAGGATGGTCTCGATCTCCTGACCTTGTGATCCACCCGCCTTGGCCTCCCAAAGTGCTGGGATTACAGGTGTGAGCCACTACGCCCGGCCGATTGGACTCTACTTTGTAAACTGAAACAGGAGACATGACGGGTGAGGAAATGCAGGAATGGGGCATTCAGATGTCAGAGTGTGGGTCTGAGAAGCACCTGCAAACGCCCTGGAGATGTGGTCTTTCTTCCACTCCCAGGGCTGATCATACTCATCTGCTGGCCGTTCATCCTCCTGGGGCATCCGGCTCTGCCGAGGCTTCTGCCCAGAAGGGGGTCCATCTGCTGTCTCTGGGTCCTGTTCCTCATAAGGGGTGTCATAGAGTTGCACCCCTCTGCCGGGCAGTTCTAGGAGGTCGGGGATACTGTTCAGCTCCTGCTCCCATCTGGGACCCTGTCACCTTCTCCCAAGCCCTGCCCACTCACCACTCATGACCCGTTGGGCGTCGTAGGGCTCCATGTACCCATCATCAGGGGGTGCAGGATGAGGCTGAGCATCAAAGGGGTCCGAATACTCAGTGTCAGCTTCCAGCTGTGGAGAGAAGGAAGGCGAGAAGACAAGGACTCAGAGGGGCATCCCTGCTAAGTGATGTTGCACCTCTTGCCTGCTCACAGGGCCATCTGACACCTCTCCAAGAGTTTTTATTTATTTTTTATTTTTATTAGTTAATTTATTATTTATTTTTATTTTTTGAGACGGAGTCTCGCTCTGTCACCCAGGCTGTAGTGCAGTGGCGCGATCTCAGCTCACTGCAACCTCCGCCTCCTGAGTTCAAGCAATTCTCCTGCCTCAGCCTCCTGAGTAGCTGGGACTACAGGCCCCCGCCGCCACGCCTGGCTAACTTTTTGTATTTTTAGTAGAGATGGGGTTTCACCGTATTAGCCAGGATGGTCTCGATCTCCTGACCTTGTGATCTGCCTGCCTCGGCCTCCCAAAATGTTGTCATTACAGGCGTGAGCCACCACACCCCACAGAGTTTTTATTTTTAATTAATTAATTAATTAATTTTTATTTTATTTATTTATTTATTTTTCGAGACAGAGTCTCGCTCTGTTGCCCAGGCTGGAGTGCAGTGGCGCAATCTCAGCTCACTGCAAGCTCCTGCCTCAACCTCCCGAGTAGCTGGGACTACAGGCGCCCACCACCACGCCCGGCTAATTTTTTGTATTTTTAGTAGAGACGGAGTTTCACTGTGTTAGCCAGGATGGTCTCAATCTCCTGACCTCGTGATCCGCCCGCCTCAGCCTCCCAAAGTCCTGGGATTACAGGCATGAGCCACTTGCACCTGGCCCTAATTAATTAATTAATTAATTTAGAGATGGAGTCTTGCTCCCTCGCCCAGGCTGGAGTGCAGTGGCGTGATCTCAGCTCACTGCAACCTCTGACCCCCGGGATCAAGCGATTCCCCTGCCTCAGTCTCCCAAGTAGCTGGGATTACAGGCGCCTGCCACCACACCTGGCTAATTTTTGTATTTTTAGTAGAGATGGGGTTTCACTATGTTGGCCAGGCTGGTCTCGAACTCCCAACAGCAGATGAACCGCCTGCTTCAGCCTCCCAAAGTGCTGGGATTACAGGCAAGAGCCACCGCGCAAAAATAACTCTCCAAGAGTTCTTTTTGGGGGTTGGAGAGGGAGTCTGTTACCCAAAAGTGCTTGCAGACAGATGACAGCTTTCCACGTCTCCCTCTATGTTGATCACATTTCCCCGGCACAGACACCTGCCTCCCTCCTTCGCCCCCTTCAGTGCTTCTCAGGTGCCAGCACTGTTGTCAAGGTTTTACCTGTGCTGATTTGTAATACCAACACGTAGTAAGCACACCGTCCCCATTTTCCAGACAAGGAAGCCAAGGCACAGAAAGAGTGTTTTGCTCAAGGACGCACAGCTGGTAAGTAAGAGGCAGAGTTTGATCCCGTGTAACGGTTTCCTCGAGTCCCTGGCTCTTCTTACCAACATCTTACTTCTTATTTATTTGTTTATTTGTTTATTGAGACGGAGTCTTGCTCTTGTCACCCAGGCTGGAGTGCAGTGGCGCGATGTCGGCTCACTGCAACCTCTGCCTCCTGGGTTCAAGCAGTTCTCCTGCATCAGCCTCACGATTAGCTGGGATTATAGGCGACCCGGCTAATTTTTGTATTTTTGGTAGAGACGGGGTTTCACCGTGTTGGCCATGCTGGTCTCAAACTCCTGACCTCAGGTGATCCACCTGCCTGGACCTCCCAAAGCGCTGGCATTACAGATGTGAGCCACCACACCCAGGCTTTTTGTTTGTTTGTTTGTTTTTGTTTTTTTGAGACAGGGTGTTGCTCTGTTACCCAGGCTGAAGTGCAGTGGCGCAATCATGACTCATTGCAGCCCTGATCTTCTAAGGCTCAAGCGATCCTCCTGCTTCAGGCTCCTGAGTAGCTGGGACTACAGGTGTGCACAACTGGCTAATGTTTTGATTTTTTTTTTTTTGTCTCACTCTGTTAGCCTGGGCTGGTCTCGAACTCCTGGGCTCAAGCAATCCTCCCACCTCAACCTCCCAAAGTGCTGGAATTACAGGTATGAGCTACTGCACCTGGTGGCCTGAGTTCAAATCCTAGTAAGCTAGAACCCCACGAGACCTTAGGCAAGTCACTGCCATTCTGCGAGCCTCAGTTTCACTTACACAAAATGGGAACATAGTGGTAGGAAGGGCAGCGTCATCGGGGAGGATGTTTAGGTGCCCTGCAGGGGAGCAACTCACTCAGATCTATTTTAGGAAGATCCCACCAGGTTCGTAGGGAAGGGTTGCTGAGGGGAGGGGGCTGGGGGGGCACAGGGGATGGCCATGGAAGAGGAGGACCCAGAGACCAAGCAGGGTGGTCAGAGAGGCAGGAGGATAACCAGCATTATGCATTGAAAAGGGACAGATATCGACCTGCGCACAGTGACTCACACCTGTAATCCCAGTACTTTGGGAGGCAGAGCCGGGAGGATCAACTGAGGTCAGGAGTTTGAGTCCAGCCTGGCCAGCATAGTGAAACCCGTCTCTACTGAAAATACAAAAATTAGCCGGGTGTGGTGGTGCACACCTGTAATCCCAGCTACTGGAGAGGCTGAGGCAGGAGAATCGCTTGAACCCCAGGAGGTGGAGGTTGCAATGAGCCGAGATCCCACCACTGCGCTCCAGCCTGGGTGACAGAGGGAGACTCTGTCTCGAAAAACAAAAAAATAAAAATAACAGACCTCCCCAGGCAGGTGGGGGTCTGGAGTACTGGGAAGGGTCTGTCTGCTGTCCCGGTTCCCCGCTGTGCTCACACATAAAACAAGCTCTCCAGGATCCAGAGAGCCCAGCCTGAGCCTCCCCTCCACCCAGTCTCCCGGGGCCACCCAGCCACGCACCTCCTCCCCGGGGCCGCCCAGCCACGCACCTCCTCCCCGGGGCCGCCCAGCCACGCACCTCCTCCCCGGGGCCGCCCAGAAGGGCCTTGGCTCTGGCCATATCCGCAGCCTCCACCTTGATGAGCCGGTGCTTGGGAGAGCCGTACTTGGCATCTCCGGGGTTCTTGGAGTCCCCAGGGCCCGCGGGGTCCGGCTCCAAGCGGCTCTCCGCGTCCTCATAGGGGTCTTCGAAGTCCAGGTTCTTCTGCGCGCGGTAGGCCCTCAGGATGTCGCTCTCGGTGTAGTCTGGGGTGGGCGGCTGCGGAGGGGGCCTCCGACCGCCAAAGCTCAGGTAGTCCCGTAGCCACTTGGCCATTTGGGCGCCTGTCACCCCAATCGGGCCACTGTCAGAGGGGCCCCCCACATGCCCTTCTCCAGGCCCCTTTCCTCAGGGAGGAGGAGGAGGAGGAGAGGAAGGGAAGAGCAGGGAAGGAGGAGAAAGATCAGGTGCGCCCTTTGGCGGGGTTCTGGATGGATAGAGGCAAGGAAAAGGTGAACGCGGGGGAGGAAAAGGAGGCGACAGAGGAGGGAGGGAGGACAAGCCCGCTTTAGCTGGGTTTGGGAAGCACCGCAGGGGAAGGGGGCGTCCCGCAGGGCCCCGAATGCCGCGTGCTAGGCGCTAGGGCGAGGGGCATCCGCGGAGGCGCGCGGAGTTTCCGCGGGCAGCGCGGTTCCCTGGAGCAGCTCGGCCGCCCGCCGCCTCCGGGAAGCTCCGGGATCCCTTCCTGGGGTCGGGAGATCGGGGCCAGCGCCACCTGCGGACGCTCCCGGCCCCTCGCCCAGTCCGGACGCCTGGGTTCTCAGCGCAGCGGGCGGGCTCCCCAGGGGCGCAGGCGCCGCGCGCAAAGTTGGGCCGCGGAGACGGTGACCCCGGCGGGACGCATCCTTTGTCGCGCTCCTCTCGGCTCAGCGGGGAGCCCCCAATCCCGCGGTCCCCGGCCGGGCCGCCTCGATCCGGCCCCAGCCACCCGCACAAAGGGAAATAAAAACCTCCTCCAATCCCTCTTCACGCTTTCGGAGACACTTTCTCCGCCGCCGCCGGGAGGTGGGACGCTGGGGAGGGGAGAGCGCGGGAGGACGCCCCGGTTCCCACCAGCCCCGGGCCGCGTCCCGGGCAGCAGCGTCAAGGCTTCCCCGCCTCCCCTCGGCCGCGTCCCCCGCCCCTCCCCTCCCCCTGCGCTCCCCTCGGAGGTGACTGAGACCTTCAGCTGTTCTGGGGAGGGAGGGAGCCGCTGCCCGCGGAGGGAAGGGGGGCTGGGGGCGGGAGTCGCCGGGGCCGAGGCCGCGGCAGCTGGACACTGACCCGGACGCCCGAGACTGGCCGCAGCGAGCGCGGAGCGCGGGAGGTGGGGACCGGCTGGGAGTGACACTGCTGGGGAGGGAGAGAGGGAGGAGAGGGGAGGGGGAGAAGGAGGGGAGGGGGAAATTGCCCGGGAAATGGGGGGCTGGACTTGACCGCCAGAAGGGGTGAAATTGACCAGCAGAGGGGGTGGGAATGACCGCCACTGAGGGTCGAAATGGAACCGATGTCTGGCGGTGAAACGGACCGGCAGAGTAGGGGTGTGGAAATTGGTGGAGAGGTCACTGGTTGAAATTGATATTGACGCAGCAGAAGGAAGAGGGGGGCAAAGGAAGGGACGGTGGGGATCAGGCTTCCCCTCCCCCAAGAGGGCTCTGCTCTGTTCCCCGATCCCTTCCCAGGGGACTAATTGTGGGCAGGAGGAGGGTTGGGGGCAGCTGGCCTGGGGAAGGGAGATGGTATCTGTCCCTGGCGCCTGTCCTCTGCATCTGTCCCTTTGTGGCTTCTGGGGGGCAGGTGGCGGGAAGAGGGGCAGAAGTGAGAGGGGCCTGGCCTGAACTGGCTGCCTGTTATCAGCTGCCGCTGCCATTGTCTGAGGGTGAGGGCACTGAGAGGTTTGGGGGGTGGGAGAGGAAAAGGAAGCCACTGGCCAATTTTCCAGTGCAGAACCATTTTTTTTTCTTTCCCCATAAAGGGGCTTGCCCAGCTCCCCCTAATGACTGGAGTGAGGGGTGGCCAGGAAGGATGGGACCCCAGATTCTCTCCTCTGGTGGCCAGTCCCCCGGTTGGGCACAGGTCATAGCTTGGAGGGGACAGCTGGAGGACGAGACAGCAGTCAGAACTAACACTGCTATGACTGGGCCCTCCTAGCAGCCCGGCGGGGCTGAGGGCAGGGTCTGTCACCCCCTGAGTCTTGGTTTTCCTTATTTGAAAGATATGGTTTCTAACAGGAAAAGCCAGACAGCTCTAGGAAGGATTCCAGGAGGGACCGAGTTATCACCTGGATTCCTCGTTTTATGGATGGGGAAACTGAGGCACAGAGATGGGAGGGACTTGTTCAGAGCCACTCCACAGCTCATTCTGCCTGGACACTGCCATGGGACCTGGCCTAGGGTGGCACTGGAATCTCTTTTTTTTTTTTTTTTTGAGACGGAGTCTGGCCCTGTCACCCAGGCTAGATTGCAGTGTTGTGATCTTGGCTCACTGCAACCTCCGCCTCCCGGGTTCAACCGATTCTCCTGCCTCAGCCTCCTGAGTAGCTGGGATTACAGGCTTCTGCCACCACGCCCAGCTAATTTTTGTACTTTTAGTGGAGATGGGGTTTCACCATGTTGGCCAGGCTGGTCTTGAACTCCTGACCTCAGGTGATCCGCCGGCCTCGGCCTCCCAAAGTGCTCTTCATGGAATCCGTTCTGCAACTCCTTTCCATGATGAGCTCCATTATCCAGATGAGAAAACTGAGGCCTGGAGCCAACAAGGCAAAGCCCCTGAAGGATGCAGGTGTCTAGACCCTTCTGTTCCTCCCCTTCCCTGCACTGGCTATGTTCCCCAACACACACCTGTTGAACTCCTTCCTCCCTCCTGAAGTGCATGGTCACCCCTGCTTTCTCTCCACCCTTTTTTTTTTTTTTTTTTTGAGACAGAGTCTCGCTCCTGGCCCAGGCTGGAGTGCAGTGGCACAATCTCGGCTCACTGCAAGCTCCGCCTCCCAGGCTCACGCCATTCTCCTGCCTCAGCCTCCCAAGTACCTGGGACTACAGGCGCCCGCCACCTCGCCCGGCTAGTTTTTTGTAGTTTTTAGTAGAGACAGGGTTTCACCGTGTTAGCCAGGATGGTCTCGATCTCCTGACCTCGTGATCCGCCCGTCTCGGCCTCCCAAAGTGCTGGGATTACAGGCTTGAGCCACCGCGCCCCGCCCTCTCCACCCTTTGAGATCAGCAACAAGGCGGCGTCCCACGGGGCGGCCAGGGAGCACAGCGGATAATTGTCGTGCTTTCTGTCAGCCGCGAGGCAATTTCAGGGCGCGGGGATGAGCTGTTGACAGATCTCATCAAAGCCGAGTCGTCTCCCTGCCGGATAAGACTAGATGTCTGAGGTATAAATATTTGAAAGGGGCCTTCTAATTACAGTCTGTGCCAGGAATAGCAATTAGAGGCCCCCGGGCCAGAATCAAACGGCACTTGACTTTCCTGTGCTTTGGAGCTGGCTTCTCCTGGGGCTGCACCCCCACCCTACCCCAAGGAGGGGAGAGGGGAGAGGCTGGCAGGAGAGGCAGGAGGAGGAGGTAGAAGAGACAGAGATCCAGGCTGGGGGTCCAGTCACCTTGCCTTGTGACCTTGAATCAGCCACGTAATCTCGTGAGCTTTGGATGTCTTTCTTTTTCTTTTCTTTTCTTCTTCTTCTTCTTTTTTTTTTTTTTTTTTTGAGACAGGGGTCTCGCTCTGTTGCCCAGGCTGGAGTGTAGCATTGCAATCACAGCTCACTGCAGCCTCAACATCCTGGGCTCAAACGATCCCCCCATCTCAGCCTCCCAGTAGCTAAGATTACAGGTGCACACCACCACACCTGGCTAATTTTTTTTGTTTGTTTGTTTGGGGGGCAGAGTCTTGCTTTGTTGCCCAGGCCTGGAGTGCAGTGGTGTGATCTCGGCTCACTGCAACCTCCGCCTCCCAGGTTGAAGCAATTCTCCTGCCTCAGCCTCCTGAGTAGCTGGGATTATAGTAGGCATGCACCACCATGCATGGCTAATTTTTGTATTTTTAGTAGAGATGGGGTTTCACCATGTTGGTCAGGCTCGTCTCGAACTCCTAACCTCATGATCCACCTGCCTCAGCCTCCCGAAGTACTGAGATTACAGGCATGAGCAACCGCACCTGGCCAACACCTGGCTAATTTTTTTTATAGAGATGGGGTTTCGCTATGTTGCCCAGGCTGTACTTGAACTCCTGTCTTCAAGCAATCCTCCCCGCTCCCAAAGTGCTGGGATTACACTCCCTTTGGCCTCCCAGAGTGCTGGGATTACAGGACTGAGCCACTGCACCAGCTTTGGATTTCTGACCAGGAGAGGAGGGAACCAGGGAGGGCTACCAGGAGGTGGGTGCTGAGTGGGTAGCAACAAGGAGGTGGGCGGGGCAGCGGGGACCCTCCTTCCCCAGCATTCTGGGTCTGAGAGGCAGCTCATGGGGGGCTCCTCCAGGGTGGGTGGGGCCCAAGGAACTATCCTCAGGAGGTTCTCCCAGGTTCCAGAATCCCAGCCTGTCAGACACTAGCCCATGACAGTGGGTAAATGAGAGAATAACAGCTCACCCCTGTTAAACACTTATGGCCAGGCACTGATTTTGTTTTCTTGCTCCTTTTTTTTTTTTTTTTTTTTTACCAGCCGCCCTCATTTTTTTTTTTGAGGTTGAGTCCCTGCTGTCCCCCCAGGCCTGGGAGTGCAGTGGTGCGATCCTCACGCTCACGGGCAACCCTCTGCCTCCACGGGTTTCAAGCAGATTCTCCTGCTGCAGTTTCCCGCAGTAGCTCGGGTTTACAGGTGCCCGCCCACCATTGGATCCAGCAAATTTTATATTTTTAGTAGAGACGGTGTTTCACCAAATGTTGGCCAGCGCTGCTCTTGAGCGTCCTGACCCTCGTGATCGCGCCCTTGGCCCCCCGAAGTGCCTGGCATTACAGGAGCTGAAGCCACCATGTACGGAGACTTGCTGTGGTTTTTTGTGTTGTTGTTGTTTTTTCTTTTTTCTTTTTTTTTTTTTGAGACACAGTCATCGCTTAGTTCGCCGCAGGCCTGGAGTGCAGTGGGGGCGGATCTTTGGCTACCTGCAAGCTTCCCGCCTCCCGGTTCACGGCCATTCTCGCTGCCTCAGCCCCCCCAAGTGCTGGGACTAAGGCGCCGCCGCCTCGCCCGCCTAATTTTTGCATTTTTTTTAGTAGTAAGACGGGGGTTTCACCGTGTTAGCCAGGATGGTCCCTCCGGATCGTCCTGCCTCGTGATCGCCGTCCTCGGCTCCCAAAAGTGCTGGGTTAAAACAAGGCGTGAGCCCACCGGGGGTGCCCGGCCTGTTGTTGTTTTTTCTTAAAGATATAATATCCAATTGGCTGCGTGACCCAACTGTAATCCCAGCACTATTGGGAGGCCGAGGTGGGGCGGAATTCACCCCTGGAAAGTCAGGGAGCTCGAGACAGCCTGGGCCCAGATGTGAAAACCTGTCCTCTACTAAATACAAAAAATTATAGACAGGGTGGTGGTGTCCGGGCGCCTGTAACCAGCCTA